GGAAATGCTTTTCGTGACGTGTAGGGCAAGTTTCTTAGTCATGGACAAGAACTGACTGACTTGACATTGGTTGTTTATGCTGCGGAATACAGAAGATTTCCACACTGATTTCAAAGTGACAAACGTCTACCTTGCCTTTCTAATCCTGACTAGTTTTAACATCGTCGTCCGTGCTGCTGCTGCCCGTAGTTGAGATTAAGGTGCCTAGATAAGTGAAAGAAGTGACCTCTTTCAAACTTCTACCATCGATAGTGATTGACACCTTTTGTTGTTGGCTGGTGGTCTACATGACATCCGTCTTCTCTATATGTTCACTTGAAGTCATGCCTTGGAGGCCTGCTTCTTCTGCCAGCTTGTTGGTTTTCGCCTGTAAGTTTTCGAGTTTGTGCGACATTAGGCATAAATTGTCCGCGAAGTCCATATCTTCTAGGGTCTCATTATCAGTCCAACGTATTTCCGTCTTCTCACTCACAAGCACGGTGTGCTGCATGACCCAGTCAGCCACAACTAGGAATATCATCGGTAGCAGTAGTCAGCCTCGTCTTATTCCTGTATTAATTTAAAGGCTTTGCCGAGTTTTCCACTGTGAATCAGTTGAAATGTGGTATTCTCAGACAACTGTTACAAAAGATTTAGGGTAATCCATAGTGTTACAATAGTTTCTAAATTACTTTATGGTCAATGCTGTCAAAAGCCTTTTCAAAGTCGATGAAATTGAGGCAGAGATTTGACTGATATTCTATGCTCTGTTCAGTGATTATGATGCATAGAGTTGCGATTTGATCTGCACATGATTTGCTTTTCTTGAATTTAGCTTGTTCCTTATGAAATTCCCCTTCCAGTGCATCTTTTATTCTCTCCGGAATGACGCGACTTAATATTTGGCTTGGCTTGGCCAACAGTATGACCCTGCAATAGTTCTTTATGAAGCCTAATTCAACCCTGTTTGGTAGTTTGACTGGTATAGATTTCCTTTACTACCGAGTGAGAATTTCACTCGTTTTTAAGCTTATTTAGAAGTAGAAAAGTCTGGACCCATGAGACTAACTAAAAACGAAGTATATAAACCAGTGATTTGCGTCCTATCTACTTATCAATAAGCACCTTTCGATAATATCTTTTAACGACAAAGAATTGCATACACTTTCGTTTTATTTGGTATTAGTGAGACGGATGTTTCATCAATAATTTCTTGCTACTTTTATAAAGCCCACATATAACTTAGTTCCTTTCATAAGAAATTTATTCAACAGAAAGGGACCAAACAGATGCATAAGATGATGGGGGTTCGAATCTCAGAAGGGACATGAGTTCCTTCAAGGTTGCAGATACACCTTGCTGAATAGTGCCAACTATTACGCAACCTAAGTCCAAGGCTTCCTGTCGATTGCCTCTAACCATCTTATATGGTGAGACAGTAACTTATCGAAGAAGACATTGTGAAGTGGTCGCGCTATGTCATGAATTAGCAGAAGTTAGAATTCATGGGCTGGTCATTGGATCGGGTCCCAGTGGCTTAATTGTCTACGAGCTCGCTAACCTTGTAACCAGAAGGTCCTGGGTTCGAACTCCGGTGGCTGGTGCGTACTGAAGAAGAGTCCCAAACTAGGCTGACGAAACATCTGTCCAGTACTCCCAGGTTTCTAACTGATGTCAGCTCATGATGAAATCCTCCTACCAATCAAACACAATCCCTACAAAAACCAATACTTGAAAATTCCCAAAAAAGCTGAATATGTGTGACATTGTAACGGATGGCTGACACAACAACTTTCGCCTACGGAAAAGAAAGATTTTATGGAGAAAAAGCACCCTTTTTGCAGACTGATTAACAGTTAACTTACACTAGCTTATATATATATATATGCATATATATATACTCTATCAAGTAAACTAGGTATTTAATCTGTGGTGTATCCCTTGGCGCCCATATTATACCAGATTAGTATTCACATAAATAAATCAATAAATAACAAACACGTAGTTGACCAGTTGTTCACAACAGACGACAGTAAACTGACCAAAGCTGTACTCACTAAAAGTGCCCCACAGAAGTAAAGTAGGATGCAATGAACTGTCATGCAATAAACACATCCGGATATTAAACCTGCGCCAAAGATGATGCAAGTTGGCAAACAAAAATTGACTTTTTGAGATTTCATCAGCAAATAGTCTCTTAGGACTGATAGAGCTTTTCAAATAAGTGACGTGATCACACCTTTCACTTTCTGCCATTAAACCAGGGGTCAGTGCAGACTAGTGCCGTGGTATCAGACCACACTTCACAGGACGGGGAGAGGGTGAGTATTATACCAAACACACGAAGATTTCCGCCTGATATGTTCAGGAAACTATATGTCTTGTCAGGGTCTTCACAAAAAGGACTACATCATCATCTGCGTATTCCAGATCACTGATACATTTACCTAGTACCATATGGATTCCCAAAAGATGGAAATGAAAGAGTCACATCCATTTAGTAGTATGCCTACGATTATGTCAGAATACAAACAGTTGTATTAAGCATCTCGACTTCTAAATACGTGATACACTGTAAAAATTAGAGAAATTCTATGACGTCATTCACTTATAAGCAAGTGATTTACGATGATTGATTTATATATTTTTCTTCTACTAACCATAAGAACCATAAGGAAAAATATAGCAAATCGATTAGAAAAATATGCTGTCAATAAGGTGAAAACTGAAAAATACGTGATAGATAACTGTAAAATTCTGAAGATGTAATTAGTAAGTTTAATTGAGACACTACTTTCATTGAAACATTGTTCTCAGTGAAATTCTTCTAAATGGTTTCTTACCCTTGGATAGACTGACTATCTCTTAACGCTCTTACATATTTTTTTAATTTTATTATAGCTTGATTCCACACGTAGTACTTTTGATACAAGTATGGAATTTTCAGCATGTGATGCCGGTAGCCCGAATTTCGCAGGCCGACCATTGACATCAGGTGGGCGTTGGCAGGGGATCGAACCACGAACCATGTTCATGGTCGGCGAGAGTCCTGACCACTGTACCACAGACGCACACAATGAATAACTGACTGATAGTGAATAACTACAAATTATCGAAGAGTCACTGAAGTGACGACAACATGTGGAGTCCGTCAGGAATGCCCATCGTCCCCACTATAGATGTACTGACGGAACTGAACGTAACTGACTATAGCGACTTAAGAATTAATATGTTACGAAAGGAGAGTTTCGTTAACTTGAAATTAGTGGATGATATTGCACGCCTAGGTGAAGACGTCAACCAAATGCAGTATTCTAAACACCTTGAGCAGAAATCTTAATTTGTTAAGCATGAGATTCTCCCCTGTCAGATATAAGATTATGTTACAGAACTGATCCCCTTTGACTCCTAGTTTAAATATAGTGAGTGAAGTGGCTGACCATGCCCTCCACTTCAATTATTTGGGAAGTTGCATCAGCCCTAATGAACTGATAACTGACGAAATCTCACCCTGGACTCGTGTGGCACTTGCCAAATTACATCACCTCAGACGTAGATGTGATATCCAGGTATCGATCAAAGGACATGTGTACTACACAACCGTTAGTTCTGTCTTTTTTTTATTGCTGTGAGGAAGGTACAGTGGAAGTAGAAGATGTAAAAGGGTTGCTGTCTTCGACTAAGGAAGTTTTCGTCCTGTCTCCCAAGTTGAATGGTATAGGGTGAGTAATGTCGAGATTTGACGCAGGGCGTTGGATAAAGAAGGGAAGTCAATCTATTGAGTTGTGAAGCTACACAGATTGAGATTTCTAGAACACATGCTGCGCATGCCAAACTACCACTTCTTCGACGGGTAAAGTTGGCTGACATAGGGTCAAGTTGAAAAAGAGTTAGTGTTGGTCATACACTATCCTGGCATCAATTCATGAAGTCCCTGACAGATGCTTCGAGCCACGTAGAAATGTGCAAACCGCCTGGTTAAGGTCCTCGGGATGGTAAGAACAAATGGCTGGATATTTGGTAATATGGCTAAAAATTGTTTACAATGGCGCAGATATATTTACTATTTGTCGTCCTCTATATCCACTAAACGCCCCCATGTTACATTCATCCTATTCATTATACTCCTTTTGAATCTCTTTCTTTCTTTATTCTACCTTTGTGTACTACATGGAGTCTGGTAACTTGGACTGCTGTACTCCTCTGCAAAGTTCAAGGTTGAAACTCAGTCAGTAAGATACATAAGTATACCATTTCGAATCCGGATGAAACGGAACCATCGAATCAAAAAATCACTGAGGATTGAAATGAAATTATTAATTCCAGAAAACTAACACCAACGACTGGTATTGAAAATTAGTTTCACGGATACATTCTGAAACAGTACTACGAAGTACTTACCTAAAAACGTCTCAAACTAGTATAGGTTGATTGAAACTGCCTTTATATTTCACAGGTGTATCCGCAAAGTCAATGCACTCACTATAACATAGCGGTCTTAAATTCGAACGAGTCAATGACTAAATTTTCAATATACATGAACTTAAATATGCACTATGAACAACCAACTGATACGAGGATATAAGTTAGAGGAAAAGTTGTATTGGTACTTAACAGGAATATTTTTCAGCACGACATGGAGTAAAATGTCAACCTAAAATTGTGACTTCGTCAATAATAATATACCACTTCGTCCTACAACTAGTTGATTGATCTGTTGTAGAATCATACATCAAATACCCAGATCAGATTCTTAGTTTCTCCGTCTAGATGATACTTACAAATAGTTGAGACTCAGATTCTCAATGTAAATGTAACATTTCAGTTTAAAAAATAAGATGACATGCCATTTTTCAAACACTATAAAACATGGATAAGGAAAACAACAATGGCTAATATGCCATCAAAGCAAACTACAACCATTTAGTGACACTATTCATTGAAGAATTTACGTTAACGTTTCCTGACATTCAACTTGTGGTAGCTTACGCATTATTAGTGGGGAAAACAATCACACTTACTAATATTTGCGACTGCATTCACGCGGTATGCCAATGATCTCGGGGCAATATTCAAAAATATCAAGACCTGTCTAGCATGCAGAAATATGCTGTTCAACTCCATTAACAGTCCAAATAAGGCATAGCAAACAAGAATGCGATAAGATGACACAACAAAGAAGCAGGTTAAAACCTAAATAAGCAATTACGTTGAATGCAAATGCACTGATTACTGTTATGTGATGAAGTATAATTTCCAGAGACCTTAGGCCCACACCACCACAAATATTGTGATAAATATCATGAACGAAATAACCTGTTGAAATTAAAATTAACTCTCACTACTTACCAGTTGCAAACCCCATAATGTGATATGCAAATACATTTTCTGACTCTATAATGTTGTAAACGAGGTCCGGATAAGCACAAAGGCTAAAATATTACTTGATTATGTAGAGTAACCCACCAAATAAGAGAACTTAGTCCAGATATTACAGCATGGATAACAGAAATGGAATAATTTCGAAACCGGGTGAGAGCATAAGTACTTTGAACATCTTTGTTTTCTGGTTGAAATGTTCGGAAAACATAATCGATTGAATAAAAAAGGGCAAAAGCCAAAACGGAAGTAGTGTGAGTATCCCCAAAATCAATGTTTACATCGAGGACGCGACCATACAAAGTCATATTTCTTGTCCCGCTAGACATTAAGTGTGCCACAGCAACCCACTTAAACGAAAACCCGTATCTCTGACCTTCAAGAATGAATGTGATATGGTAGTCCTTGATGCTTACAGTAGAGAGGGGCCCTAATTCATTCGCTTACGTACAGAGAAAATTTCTATGACTATTCATCTGAATTGTCTATTTAAGATGTTTGTTCATATATTATTATAAATAGTTACTTAAGTGGTGAATCAGCATGCATCTGAATTGCTTTCTAAATATGGACTAAACAATAAGTACCTACGGTCTTTTGCTACAATATAAGAAGAAGAAAGGAAGCAATATTAAGATGCTCAATGAACAGTATGACTCCATGTTTATTGAAATATATGGGGAGTTTCTGCACTCCCTACACTCACTCTAAAAATTGATCTACATATCAGTCATCTGAGAGGGAAAGGGTATTAGTCCCATGGGATTACATAAAGGAGAAGGCGGGGATTGAATCATCAGCTACTGATCACCACGATAATTACCTAACCTTTAGGTTAAACCCGTAGATAAAGCAGCATATAAACATTCATTTTACTTGATTTGCCTACTTAGATCACCGGTTAGTACAGTTATAACCAATACTTTAGGCTGTAGGCTATCGATAGGGCTGCTGCACAACGATATCGATTAGCTCATCAGCGTGTTTCACATTGTGATGGTTGGTAGGTGTGATGCAGCTCCTCAGACTTCTTCGAATTCTAGAAAAAATTTTACGATGTATAAATAAACCTTTATGTCGCCATATTGCACAAACGAACAGAACTTCAACGCAGTTGCCAGACATCGATCTACTCAGTTATAGGGAAAATGGGTCAGAATCAATAATAGCGTAGGTGTAGAACAGTCACAGTCTAAACTTAATTTTACTTTGGGTTTCGTTAGGCAGTTCATGAACTGTCTTACACCTCACAGCTGAAAGGGTGATAAAAAGCTTGCACAGGATTGTAAGACAAGAAAAATAATTCATTCGTGCTATTTTATACCCACTGTATGAATATGCTGACTCAGAATGCCTCAGTAGGAGAGATTAGAAATATTGAAAAAGAAACCAATGAATTGCATGTTTATCGAAGGGACATGCAAAGTCGAATTCTACAGCGGACAGTATGAATGATACCGTCAGTTTAATGGGAATTCGTCCACCTTTGAGAAGGAGTAGGGATTTTATGGTGTCATCTAGCGTTAACAGTTCTCTCAGTGACCGTATATTGATGACTTACATCTGATGTTTGACGATGAGTAATGACAAAAATGCAGCTATCATGAGATTTTATGCGTATCACAAGTCATTTTTTGGAGATGGTTTTTAAGAAGGATCAAGGCCTATTGAACATAAGAAAGCAGCCTAACTGATCGAAGACTCAAGCATTAATGAAAACATTTACTTTGTGACGAGTGTGTTATGGGAGCCTAGCTATGAACATATGAACTGTTATTAAAACCTGCAATCAGGCTACCCATGAGCCTAAGGAAAAAGTTCACCTGACGCCTTGCTCTCTGAAGTAAGTAGATTGATGTTACTGACTAGCTGGGCTTCAGACAGCACACTTGTTTCAAAGTTTGTATCCCCAGAAGAAATGAAATTCGCTATATGCCATAAATCAATTTCTACATACTTGATTGAACGAATACCATGCTGGTTAACGAATATCGGTTGAGGCACCTATAGATTTGGTGTCAGTGATATTCGTAAGCCAGTCGCACAAGGAGATTTATTGTCTGTACTGTCACCATTTTGAACTGGTGTCACCCTGTCTACTCCCCAAAAGTGACATGCAGAGAGTAATACTCCACTGGGACGAAGTGGTAGACGAAAGACAGTCTGGAGTAAAAGAATTGACGAAGTAGCCTGAGATCCCTAGGTATGAAATCTGCTGTACCATATTTTATGTTAACCAAGAATCACGAGGCTCATGCCTGTCTTCTCCTAAGTCTCCAAAGTTGGGTCCACAGGTGTGGAATGCAGGATTTCCTTTACAAGCCGTATGAATCCCTCCTTTACAATGGTAAAAATCCAGAGTCATAGTTCTGAAAACTGTTTCAAATCCAAAACCAGAGCTTAATTTTATTTCGCTGGCTATTCAGATTTGCACAGCTGATCGTGGAGAAGTGAATGGTCTCACATATCAAATAGTCTTATGTACAGATTCTGTGACAGCAACAAATCACGTATGTCACGATTCAGGAAAATGTGCATGCTATGTAGATAACTGGGTATCTAAACGGTGAATCAACAAGTGTTAACCAACTAGCCTGCCTGGTTGGCAAAGGGAGAACTCAGGCGTATATATAGTTGAGTAACAGATCGTCTGGTGAACTCAGGACATTCAGCTCACTTTAAAAATTTCTTCAAATATCGGATCTAACCTCTCAAAGAGAGTCAGATGAAGGTTGTTGTGGCGCTAGCGACCCCAAAGTCAAAGCCCACGTTATGTATCCAGAAGAAATGCGATCGACCTTCGTCTCTGCGGTGGCTATCGAAAACAATTAATTCTCTTAATGGTGATTATCCTATTACATATTTCGTATCCTGTTTACTGTTTCGCGTTTTTTGACCTGTGTTTGCGCTAATATGTCTTTATCCGATCTCCCTGTTCATGGTCACATTTTAAGACATATTTGCAATCTTTTAACGTAAACGCTGATCAGAAGTGGTTCTGCAACCGCCTCACCAATTTTCTACAAATGCAGGAGTGTACAGCCCAGCTGGGGTTTTCACCGAAAGGAAAATTTCACCGGTGTAACCACCGTTTTATTATTTCCTGTGATCTAATGCCTATATTCCATTTTGAAAATCGCCCTTGCAGTGAACTGCTACTGTTTCTCACTTGCGCTCTTGAGAGTCCTGAACCCTCCAGAACATGAAAGCATAGTGATCCTATTGACCCCTTAGTGCGAAGATATTACGAGGACAGGCAACTTCTCAGACTTTACTATACGGGTAGATCATTAATTTTGATAATTTCTTATGGAAATGCCACAGTTGGTGGGCGCCTTTGAACATAAGAACTGTATGGGATTAAGGAAGTTCGTTAGTCCAGTTGAATATCAGCCATTTTGCCAAGAGTAATGAACTTGCTTATCTATACTGATTGGGTCAAACTGACGACAACTGGGTTTTCAAGGAACAATAGTGAGACCGTTTCATTTTTGTGTGATTGTGTGTCTGTATACTGTCTTCATACCATCGTTTATAGATACGTTCTTAAACGATTGTAATACTGACAGTGGAATTCAACGAACCACACAACAAGCATGCCTACCAATGGAACTAGGAACTGATTTAGACATCAGTATCCCTGTAAATCAAGCTTCCCTGAGAGGTTTGAAAATGGCTAGCACTGCTGCAAGTTGTTCCAAGAAATTTTCACCTAAACGTAGTAACCTCGTCACAGCGAAAAAATTTCGCAGGATTGAGTCTAATGATGAGGAAGAATACTTTGTATTAAATAAGATTGTTGAGAGCAAGCGTGTCAACAAATCCACACTTGATACGAAGAAATCCTCTCAAAACACAAGTATATTTGGTGGTTTCTGGCATACTCCGTCTTATAAAAACTTAGGTTCTAAAACCACCAGAGTCCTGCAACCAAAGCACTTTCAACTTTGGAGATGAAAGGTTTGCAATTTAACATTTATAAGAACCTGTTCTGATCGCTTGTACCATTATCGAACGATTTAAACTTTTGAAAAAGTATTAATTTATGATACTTCCCAGCTGTAATTTATAACAACTGATCGTGCCTGCAAAAATGGCGTGCATTTCTTGCAAACGCCTGTTTATATTTAATATAAATCATTATTATATCTTATTCTTTCTTCTCTAGTTGGGGCTGTGTTGAGAACAGCCTGGACACCAGGTTAGGTGGGCTGGGCTAAAGTTTCAGCAGGTAGTATGGCCAAAGCTTAGGACTAACAGGGTACATAGCCTTATATCAATTGTGTGCATTATTTCTAGTAGAAAACAACCGGAAACGAGCTTGAAATCTCTCAAGCAGTTTAACTAACATGTGTTCTAGAAGAGCGTGGAAACTATACTCCTATACAAACATCCAGTCACCAACCTCAGAGTGAGACACAACCAGTTTCCAGGAAAAATCTCAGATGTTGTCAGATGTAATAACCAGTAGGAGTCAGAAATGCGGAGTGTCTTCTACTGCAAATTTCTATCAAAAGCCATTTGAAAACTCGGATAGGTTGTCAATTCTCTGAGGTGTAAGGCTGAATTAGAGCATCAAAAATCCTGGTGGCCTACTTCAACAACCGAGTCACCTAGATTCCCCTTCACAATACTGACAAATATTCACACAGTGATTAATGCTGCACTCCAACAAATAAGTATCTAAATAGCAAATTATCTAAAAATATCCATGAAAAATCGACATGTGGATGATGCTGAAAACAAATCACCTGTATCAGCGAAGAGTCTCTTTCCGGCAAATTAATTTAATTGACTGTACAACGGCAATTATATATACTAAATTTGTATTTGTGTGTATATTGGGTTTGGGCAATAATAATAAAAATTAGTTGGGGTTACTGATGTCAAAATAGTCCAAAAGTGTGATGAATGATCAAACTGCAACCAGCAGCAGTTCACCTGCTTAGCCTTAACTTTGACAATAACATCTCATTTGTAACTACAAGAAGGAAATAAAGAATATCCTCTCCAACGAAGGTAAATTTCCTCAACTCCTAGCGGAAGAAACAAAACTGAGCTGACTGAGAGGCAATTCACAGACACCTTTAGAAGAATGAGAACTGATCGGTTGATTATGTGCAGTCTCTATAATTAAATCCGGCCAACAGCTTCAACAACAATAAGGCTTTATGTTTTGCCAAAAATACACAAAGTTGGTCATCCATTCTGTCCAATTCTAGGTATGTCGCGTTCCCTTTATCACTCTGCTGGAAGAAAGCTGGCTGTTGCTTTGTGACGTGTAAGGAAACGTACGTACTCGCTTCGTGACACTTCCCAATTTGCCAACTGCATACAAGAAATGAATGTCACTAACAAAAGTATTCTATCTTTCAA